CTGCACTTTTCCCATCTTTTGACAATGAAGAGAATTCAAAAGACCTTGAAAAGGTGTGACTACAAGCTGGAAGGAACCTGGGTCTGTGAATGAGCTTGCAGAAGGCTACCTGATGGGGAACTTCTACACTGGAAAATGACATGAACCAGAAACAAACTCCTGTTGCAGTGAGTCCTTATCTGTTACCATATGTTTTGGTTCTCCTGGGGTGAGGGCTAGGCCAAGTCCCCACTTAAAATTTGATTTGTGTGTTAACACTGATGATACCACACAGCACCCAGAGGGTATGAAGAGATTTATTACTCCCATGAGTCTTTCAGGGGAGAGCAGGGCAACCTCCCAAGAAAATGCAAAACAGCCTGAGGGAGTGGGGAGAGTTAAGTGGTTTGGGCTGTTATAGGATTGGGGGATGGGACTAGGGTGAGAGGACAAACACAGGCCAGGCTTTGTGTGGTTGGAACTTCCCACTGGTGCCTAGAGAGAGAGCTTGCCCAGATGCAGGGAAAAAGAGAAAGGGGGCTTTCAGCAATAAACACCAACAATGGAGTCAGACTGTTCACTACATCATAGGTAGAGTCACCTTAACACATACAACATCAAAACTGAACACTTTTCTCCACTACATGGCTCAGTCCTGCCCTCTCCTCTGCTTTCCTTGAGGCCAGGCTGACCAACCCCCAAGCTGGATGTGAACAAAGGGCAACCTTGTAGAACTGACCAGGACTAAGGTCATTCTCACTGTCTACCTCCTCCATTCCCATCCACTCCCTCCCCTTCCATGGCCCCAGCTTGGAGAACTTCCAAGTCAGAGCCACAAAATCCCTGTTTCTGCTAGAAGTACTGTTCAAGGGCCGACCCCACAATGGGCTTTGGCACCTCCAGCACCTGGGACACTGCACACAGGTTTCTTGTATGTTACTCGCTCACAGTTGCTGCCAGGGGTCAGTAAACAACAAAGGCCTGGCTTTTTCCTCAAGGTTTTCTAAACTGATGAGTATAAAAAGTAAGGGGTTTTAGCGTTTATCATTGTGATGGACAGCCATCTTGGCACCTTTGAGCCTAGGAGTTGTGTGTTGTAGTGATTCAGGGAAGAATGAGCCCAGAGAGGTTCTCAGGGGTAAACAATGATCTGCCAATGCTCTGTATGTGCCTTTGCCTGTTTCTCTGAACCCAAGAAGGTATTTCCAGGATGTGGCTGTAGGAGGCCTCCATGTTCCTGACACTCTTCCCTCTGACATTGCTCAGAGGACACTGATTCTAGTGACTACAGGGGTATCCCTGCCTCCTGCTGATTCCAAAAGTGATCCAAAATTCAACTTAATTCAACAAGTATCTACTGTGGCCTAAGAACTAAGCCCAGCTCTGGAGCTATCTAAATAAAAACGTGTCCTCAAAGACTTTATAATCTGTGGGATCCTGGATTCAACCCTTCCTACTTTTTCTACATTTGAATTATGTGGGTTAACTGGCATTAATTCTGTTGTCCAATTCAGGGCAAACCCTCCTTTTTCACATTAATCTCACTGAGTCCATATGCGGAGCCCACTCCTTCCCCTAATACACACCATCTCTCAGTCACCATCATCCCAGAAAGCTCTGTCCTACTCTGAGTCCCTACTGCTGCCATCTCACAGAAATGTAGACCTGCATCCCCCTGCCAAGGTAAGTATGGGAAAGCCTGCTGATGTGTCCAGCCCAGTAGTTCCCACAGGTGATTAGACCTTCTCCTGCTGCGTCTCCAGAACCCTCAGCAGCAACTGCTCGCACAAAGACTGAAGAGGAAGGGGTGGGGAGGGCTGCTCCCACCCAGTTCCCACCCTCTGCCTTCTGGGGCCTTCAGTCTTTGGAGGAAGTTTTCTTGAAGCTTCTCTGGGCAGTCCTATGAAATGGACTCCAGACGTCCTGCCTGGGCACACGTGAACTCAGTGTCCCTCTGAAAGTACATGGCTGCATACTGAACAGTGCTCCCTGTGGAGAGCCAGTGTGGGCCAGGGACACCAAGGCCATCTTCTACCACTTCATTTCTGGCTTTCCACCACGAGACCCAACACAGCCTAGGTTTTGGCAGGCAGATGGCATGGCTGGCTCAACATCAGCTTCCCATCAGTGAGGACCCATTGCCCCATGAGTCCCACCCACCCCCTGAGTTTTGCTGCTGACTTGTTTGAGCCCAGTCTCAAGATCTTCCATTTATGCCTATTATATTTCCTCTTGTGAGTCTGGGCTTGGGGTGATGTTCAGATCTCCTCTTCCTGTACTAATCTAATTATTTTCAGCACCGTGTCATCCCAGAATTGATTAGTTGCCCTCATATGAAGGAACTGAACAGGACAGAATTTGGCGCAACCCCTTCAGGACCACCATCCACTCTCCAGCATAACACTGATCCATTAAATGGCCATTCCTGGGCTCCCTCTATGCAGCTCCCTAGAAAGTATTGTCATCCAGCTGGCACTGAACACCTGGGTCTAGCATCTGCAGGGTCTCCCCAAACAGGGAGGTGAAAACCTAAGATGGGTTTCCCAGTAACCCAGACCCAGAAGGCATGTGTCTGCTATGGAGAATGTGACCTGGCAAAGACGTGGTCACTGATGGAGCTGCTACCAGGTCCTTCCTGTGGTTTCCCCTCCAACTCGCAATCTTGCTAGGAAGCAAAGGGGAGATTATCTTGAGAGGGCTGAGCTCTGTTACCAAGTCACAAGCCTGGGACAGTCTGCCCCAAGATTGAGGGAGAAAGGAAGGGAGGTGAGGTTCATTGAGTGTTTCCATGTGATACTATGAGGGGCATTTTCCATTGTATTCTACACAATCCTTCCTTCAGCTCTGTGAGGACCCAGATTTGCAGAGTAGTCCTCAGGAGATAGGCTCTCCGTCCCAGCTCTATGCACGTCATTCACTTTTATGATCACCCCAAACTCTCTGATGGAGGTATTATACCCCCATTCTACAGATGGGAAAGCTGAGTCTCAGAAAGCTGGCACAAGACTCTGCAGGGAACAGTAACAGTTCCACCTCATAATGCTGTGCAGATGAGACCACACGTGGCAAGTGCCTTGCACAGTGCCAGGCACACGGCAAGTATTCAGTGGCACTGCTGTCATTATTGGCTAGAGAGCACAGCATTGGAAAGGGGTATTAGGTCCCAACTTGACCTCACTCAGAATGCTCCCGATGGGCACGAAGTCCCAGGATCTCCACACCCTCTGGAGGACCTTGGGCAGAAGGCAGAGTAAAGAGGGTGAGGAAGACTCGCCCCCAACAAAGTGTGAGGTGGTCTCCCCATGCCTGGGCTCTGCTCTAAATATGAACACACTTAATCTCTATAACAAGTCAGGCAGTGGGTGCCACCACCTACTTAGCACAGTGCAAAGTAAGCCTGAGTGACCTCCCTGGTCCCATCAGACTGTTTGGGAAGAGCCGTGCCATGCCCACAGCTCTGCCCAAGGAAAGGGGAACCAGGTCAACAAGACCACCTTCATGTGATGTCTGTGCCCCGTGGAAACTCGCTTCTGGATGCCCAGGTAGGAAGAACTCTCTATCGCCCAAGGGAGATGGTTTAACCCCGGGGGGGCCCCTTCCCTGCTTCACTCTGCTTCCTGCCTTTGGCCATTTCTGTGCAATAAACAGTGACAACAAAGACATTCAAGCTGGTAAATATGTGAGAAGAGGCAGACCTGGTTTGAAGTGGCAGCCAGACACACCCTTTCCTAGCTATGGGTCTCTGCGTGTGACTGTTCTGTTTCCGCATCTGTAAAACAGAGAATACAGACTTCCTAGTACTGATATGAGGGCCTGGCGAGCACATAGACTCATGTAGGGTCATGCCGAGTATCTTGATCTGCAGCTTACTATTACTCGGCCACTTCTTCATAGCCGTGGGCTACTGTCCAGCGAGCTCACCTAGAGAAGGCCCACTGTTCCTCACCTCCTGAGAGGTGGGGTGGAATATCCAACCTGCTCTGTAGTGAGGGGTGAGGTGATGGCATGAAGCCTGGGGCACCACACAGCCTCCGCCAGTGTGCCCATTCTGTATTCTTACAATAGCTAGCTTCTCCCAGGACTTGCAAATTGCCTCAAATGCCCAGCAGACCACTGGAATCATTCCCGAGTCACAACTGGTGGGAGAGAAATATTTGGGTGTTTCTCTTTCATAATAGAAGATCTGCCAGAGAGGCACTCACTGCTTTCAAAGTTTTTCTTAATCCACCTTAGGGAGGGGTCTCCACAATGAAGCACGCTGAGCCAGCCCATGGAGGAAGAAAAAACAGGCCCGTCCTCTATAGCCCTGCTCTTAGAATCTCCTTTTTTCAAAAAGTTAATGCTAATCAAACCCTCAGAGGACCCTGAGCTACTCTGCCAGCTTTCAGGTGTGACAGGGCACAGGATTTTTGAAGTCAGATGACCTAGGCTCAAATGCAGGTCTGTGACTGTACGCAGCTATCAGAAGTCATAACCTCTCTATATTCAGTGTACTCACTTACAGACTGGGGGAAAAGGATAGTATCCATTTCATAGGATTGCGAGGAGGGACACATGAGAAGATGTGAATGGGTCTGTGAAATGGAAAGCACTATGGGAATGTGGATTGCTTTCATTTACTGCTGACAGGCTCATCACAGTAATACACAGAGCACCTCAGGATGCTGGGGTCCCTGTGACTTCCTCCTTTGTAAGTCTGAATTTCTTATTTCCATTTTAACAGCCTTTGTGTAACTGTGCCTGCTATGATAAGCCACTTCAAATCTTTTTGGAAGGAAGCAAAGTACAAAAACAAAACAGTCCCAAGGTGAGAATCAACATGGACCATTTACCCCTCATTCCACTGCATTTGTAAGATTTTGGTGGGGTTAGATCTGCTATCTGCAGCCTGGAACCTGGGGCTCGTGTCTGTGGATGAAGGTGGCTGGTCTTCTCAGAACCTCAGAGTCAGAGACAAGGCCAACCAGCCCTAAAGGCAACTCCCCACCCAACCACCCAGCCAGATGGTGGCCACCCTGCTCTTAGAATCTCCTTTTTTCAAAAAGTTAATGCTAATCAAACCCTCAGAGGACCCTGAGCTACTCTGCCAGCTTTCAGGTGTGACAGGGCACAGGATTTTTGAAGTCAGATGACCTAGGCTCAAATGCAGGTCTGTGACTGTACGCAGCTATCAGAAGTCATAACCTCTCTATATTCAGTGTACTCACTTACAGACTGGGGGAAAAGGATAGTATCCATTTCATAGGATTGCGAGGAGGGACACATGAGAAGATGTGAATGGGTCTGTGAAATGGAAAGCACTATGGGAATGTGGATTGCTTTCATTTACTGCTGACAGGCTCATCACAGTAATACACAGAGCACCTCAGGATGCTGGGGTCCCTGTGACTTCCTCCTTTGTAAGTCTGAATTTCTTATTTCCATTTTAACAGCCTTTGTGTAACTGTGCCTGCTATGATAAGCCACTTCAAATCTTTTTGGAAGGAAGCAAAGTACAAAAACAAAACAGTCCCAAGGTGAGAATCAACATGGACCATTTACCCCTCATTCCACTGCATTTGTAAGATTTTGGTGGGGTTAGATCTGCTATCTGCAGCCTGGAACCTGGGGCTCGTGTCTGTGGATGAAGGTGGCTGGTCTTCTCAGAACCTCAGAGTCAGAGACAAGGCCAACCAGCCCTAAAGGCAACTCCCCACCCAACCACCCAGCCAGATGGTGGCCGAGGGAAAGCCTGCTCCCAAAAATATCTCCCCAAATCCTCTGACTTTGTGTGTTCAGCCTCACAGCAGAAGCCTGCATTTTGTCTTCTGTAGAATTTTTAGAAGGGGTTTAGAAGGTGTTTAAACCAGGTAGGTGAGACACTGAAGTCATCACTGTGCTTTAAACATGGTAAACGACACATCATACAAACACCATTCATAAACCTGAGTCACGGGTTTCAGGGGGGAGCTGGGCACATGTATAAATAGCCTGTGTATAGCAAACAGAAGAAAAGAAGGGAAGTTTAGAGAATAAGATGAAAAGCATCGTGCCCAATTTAAACATAAAAATCTCAGCCTTGTCATTATTTACAACCCCCTGGCACAACTCCTACCCAAAAGGAGAAAGTGTCAAATGGAATATTCTAAATAAGCTAATGTCCTCGCGTTGAACCAAACAGCACAAATGATGCAGCATCATAAAATGAAGCTATAATTATGTTGTCTCACTTCTTGACTGCCAGAAGCACACAGCACAGAGCAGCCACTTCAGCATTTTCGGGACTCAGACTGTTTGGGGATCCTTATAATAAGAAGGTAGCTTTAACTAGTGACCAGGTGATTTGCATTCAGTGACTCTGGGATGGTTTTGGATGTCAATAGAACACAGTTTGTGGTTCTAGACAACACTTTGAACATGTTAATGTTTCAAAACATGTTTTTTTCTCTAAGATTGCCCCTTCTCCAGCTCACTCTCACCCCATGCCTTTGGATATAACTCATCACCAACATTCTGCTCAGGCTGTCCCCCAGCAGGGCTCTCGCCAAGCAGAGTGCAGGGGGAGGCCCACCTCCCAGCCCCACCCGTGGAGGTGAAGAGCGTGGCCAGCTGGGCAGAAACACAGGAGTCCTGGGTAGCCCACAACATCCTTGAGGCCTTGAAAGGCGCCACAGACTCAGCCTGGATTCTGGGTCATTCCATTCTTTCCCAGGCACCTACCGGCTTCCAGGCTCCATTCTGCAGTCCAGGAACTCAGCGTGAACTTGCAGGGAGCCAGCAGATGAAGTGGACTCAGGAAGGAGCAACTCTCACTCAGGAGAGGTTCAGTGTTTATCACCCACTCCCTCCCACCCCTGGAATGGGAATGCAGGGCTGTGATGTCTGGGGCCACCACATGTGCACTGAGGTAACCAGCCATGGCTGCTGCTTGATTCCAGGTCCCAGTGCACACTGTCTGCTGGTCTTTCACACACAGCCCCGCTCCGGCCCCGCTCCATCACCAGCAGGAGGGGGCTTCTGTGCCTCAGGCCTCTTCCGTCTGTCCCAGTGGTCTTCAAGTTAAGAACTCACTAAAGTGTAGATCATGCTGAATGCAAAAGCAGAGGCAAAGAAGGCATTAGTGGGAGCTCCCAAAACACAGAGGCCGGCTCCATGGCTTCTTTCTCATTGCTGTCATGGGAGCCTCTCAGCCACCCCCTGCTGTTCCCCTACAACTTCCCACAGCATCGAAGTAAACATGTGTTACAGAGCACATTGTGGCCTTTGGATTAGAGATGTGATCACCTTAAGTGCCTGTTAACTACTCTCGGCAGGGTGATGAGCAATTGTAGGGCAGGCCCCTCGGGGTGGGGGTGGGGGGTCAGCAGATGCTTTATCCCACCAGCGGCCACATGCTTATGTGACAGCTGTGTCTAGGGGCTCCCAGATCATGCTGGATGGCGTGTGAGTGCTGGGGAAATTCTGCCATCGCTATCCAAGGACCCAAATGTGAATACAAACCCCCTGGGCACACGAATTAAGTGAATTCTTAATTGGGTAACTCCCTGGCCCTCTGGTTGCTAATGGAATCAAGGCATAGACATACATTAAAAGCAAGTGTCCTACCAAAAATGTAGTGCGCGATACCACCAAGGAAGGAGGGGATCATGCATCCCTGCACTCTCAGAAAGGGCTGCAGCCTAAGTCTGCAGGACCAGGAACTTTCTGCACCAAAATATACCACCTTGTCTATTCAGCAGAAGGAAAGACAACCTCTCTTCACATCAGAGAAAGAAAAGAGAACAGTCTAAGAAATAAACCAAAGGAAAGACACTGTTTTACTTCTACCCTGTCCAGCTGCTAAGCCTCTTCAAGAACCTGATGAGGCTCATGTAGGAGAGCAGCTGCTGGACAGGCGGGGCCCACCGGACGGCTGCTGCAGAGGTGGATGGCTGCAGGCCACAGAGTCAGTGGGAGGGGTGGCAAGGAGCTGCATCCAGCCAAAGCTGCCAAGGCTGAGCTCCATGTGGATGCCCTGCCTTGCTTTACTGTCACTCACCATTCAATCAGTGTTTATTGAGCACCTCCTGCTTGCTGGGCATACTCTCATGTTGGGAAGTGATGGTGGGTGTGCAGCCCCAGGCCCTGACTCGGCGGAGCATCCAGCCAAGCTGTGGTGGTAACAGGGCTATGGTGTGCACCCACCATGTGCCAACACTGGCCAGGGCGTTGCAGGTTCAGAGGCGAGTGGCCAGAAGAGACCCTGCTAAAGGGCCTACGGTAAGCACCTAGCCACAGAGTGAGGGAGATAAGCACAAGGGAGGCAGGCATGACCCAGGTGGCACTGAACCGAACTGAGCTGAAGGACAGACAAGCAGGAAGTCTGGGGCCTAACCAGTTCTGGAAGGATCCACCATTGTCCCCCACCTGCCCGCCCCTTCAGGCAGACACAGAGCTACTCTACTCCCTGAATTCCTGCGCTCCTCTCCCACGGTGCCCTGGCTGCAGCAGTCATAACAAACCTGAATGAGGGGCAGCCCTGCCTCCATCTCCGTCTGGCCCAAGCTGGACCCTAGGCTAATGCACAGGAGCCAGGAAAGCACCCCTCAGCCTCCTGACTTTGAGGAGAGCACTGGGGGCAGCCCACTCAGCCTGAGCCTACACAGGGCTGTCTGCAGGTTGTGGGGACAAAGGAAGGGGTTGGGTCGGCCCAAGGTCTCAGCCCCTGGAGAGAGAAAACCTCTATAGGTTTCCCAAGACAGGGACCAGCCCTGGTGAGCTATAGATGCTACGAAGTTCAGACTTGGAGTCAGAGAGACTTGGGCAAATCTGCTGGGTACCTCGGAAATCTCCAGAGAGGCTTCTGAGACCTTCTGGATCCTTATAAGATAAGGCAGACAATGTCCAAGGACACTGCATCAAGGAGGAGAAGGAAAGGGGTCCCCCTGAGCCTGACTAGCCCCTGACCCCAAGAAGATGTGCGGGATAACCCTGCATCCCCTCCAAGGCTGTTATTTTCAAGGATGATATCCCCAGGGCCTCTGAGCCTTCCAGATACCAGGGACCTGGCGGGGAGGGCAGGCACCCAGCAGCACCTCCAGGGCAGCCCTTACTCACAGGTGGGATGCCTCACCCCCGAATCCTGAGTCAGCAGATCTAAGCCCATAGATCTGTGTGTTTGAGAAGTAGGCTCTCCTCACCCCCGTTCCAATGCAGGAGGTCCAAAGACCATACTTCAATCAATACTTTTCTAGAGGTTTCCCAAGACAGCTGGCAGGTAAGAGCTCAGGCTTGAGGGTCAGACTTGAGATGGACTCCCAGCTGTGACACAAGTAGCTTCAACCATGGAAAAATTCTCTGGCCTCCCAGGTTCAGCTTCCTCGTTGTTAACATGTGGGCAATGACGGCATTTCACTCATGAATGAGTGAACATATCAAGCTCTTTGCTGAAAGCATGGCTCATTTTAAAAAGTGGAATAAATGCAACTGCTTCCCAGCCTGCCCCAAGCCAACCTGAACCCTGAGGGAGCCTAGGAGTCTTCCTCACCTGGCCACTGTCAGCCAGGCCACTTTAGAGGCAGCAAGGGGACACTGGAGGAATGTCTGCCATAGGAAGAGACAGGATAGCAAGGTGATGGGGCAGATGTTCCCTGAAGAGGAGACATTTGCAGAAAAGGCAGTGTCTGGGGTGTTGAACCACTAGACAGTCTGATTATAGCTATATGCTTAGCGAGGATGTTCTGAGTAAAGAGGCGGAGTGAGGGGAGACTCCTGAAACAGAAGTGCAAAGTTAGCATGCTTTCCTAATTAGAGGGCTTATGTAATATTGGGAGAACTGAATATAAGCAGGTAATGACCTAGCATTCCCCTCTGTGAAGCATGACTGCCACGGGGGTGTCTGCTACAGTACCCAAGAGCTACAGACAGACAGGGGGCAAGGGATGATGTGGCTGTGCACTGGGGCCACGAATGCCCTGGCTGGTTGTGCTGTGGAGCTGATAGAAGCAGAGAGCCCTATTGAGGAACAAGCAACTGCCCTTGGCCAGATGTCTACAGGTGTGGGGAGCTGGTGCATGCCTTGCAGCCCCAGGGGTGCCCCTGGTCGCAAAGTGAGGCCTTCTGCAGGACCCCCACCTCCTCACTGTTTTATATTGCCTCTCTCAAGCCAGAATCAGTGGCATCATGCCCAGCAGGCCACCTCCCACAGGCTGGGGTGCCTGAAATTCAGGAGGGCTGAAACTCACCAGTAAAGGTAATAGAAGAAGGAGAGGAGGTAGAAGGCCAGCTTGCACCAGGCCTCCTTCTGACAGTAACTCAGGGTGTCCGCATTCATCACCACGGGTGGGTCGTAGGCCAGTTCGGAACTATCTGCGGGACAGTGGAAATACCTGCACGAGAGAGAACAGGGCATCATGGTTTGGCAGTGTGGGAGGGACATCTGAAGGTGTCCGGGCCAAGACCCCTGCCGCAGGACTTCCCTCTGAGGAATGGCTGCTCAGCCGTTGTCTGCCTTCTGTGACTGCTGCTCATGAGCAGCACAGCCCCTAGCTTCTAGCAGGTAGTTCCTCTCAGACTGATCCACTGGTACCGTCATGACTTCCGCCCCATACAAAGCTGCTTTGACAGGAGGACATGCTACCGGTGGTACTTGGGAGGCGCTGGAAGAGCCTCCTTGCTCCAACAGTGTGGGTACAGGTGTGGGTGCGCGCAGGGCTGCATCCTCACTCCCACGTGCCACTGTACCATTCTGCCTTCATCTTTTGTCACTTTGGATTAAATGTGTCCTCCACCCAAGCCCTCTTCTAGAATCCTGAATCCCCTGGGAGGCACGCCCTGTTCCCATGTGACTGTGGCATGGTTCTTTTCTTTTGATAGAACGACCCAGAGTGGCACAAAGACCACTTGCCTCAGTGGGAGGGGGCAGCCCAGAGGCAGGCTGGGGAAGCAAAAGCACAGGGCCTGGCAGAGGGGAGAGGGGATGTCCCTGGCTCCTCCGCTGGCCCTGTGCACAGACTGCCTCACTAGGGAAGATAGGACTCTGCCTGCAGGGCCAGCTGCTGCCTCAGGCTGACATTGCCCTATGAGCTGCTTTCTGTCCCTCTGATAAAGGTATCAGGAAGCCGGGTACAAATCATGGTCCCTGCAAGGCTGTGGGACAGGCTGTGGCCAGGAACGGGGTGGGGGCCTGACCCAAAGAATTGGCCCCAGGCACTGCCCTGCACTCAGCAATCTGGTCTTCCAGCTCCCCCGTCACCCTGTTCAGAGGTGGGCGCTGACATAACCTGTCATAGACACTAAGCTGAGAGGAAATCACAAGCCAGATTCAATGTCGCCTCCAGCTCATAGCCCTTCACCATCAGCTCTTCTCTCCCTCAGGGTGGATTTCAGGACCTACTCTGTGCTGAGAACTTGCTCCCAGCCCCCCTCATTAAGTGGCGGCAGGGCTGCTGGGGCCACCAGGCTGGCCTTCCTTGGTGGCCATTTACCGCAACTTCCTATCTGTAAAATGGAGATAAAGCCACCTGCTCCATGGGGGCACTTGTGACCCTTATGGGAGGTGACAGATGCAGTCTGCTGCTGAGGAAGGGCTCTACAGTCCTACTTTTATTTAGGTAAACTGAGAGTGAGGGCACACAGGCCCTTACTTGGTGATGATCATCACTGGACCAGACCTGCTGGGGGTATTGGAGATGAAAGAAAGCGGGCGTCTGTGGCTTCAAAGGACACGTCCCTCCTGGTTCCTTTTCCTTTCCTTTCTGAGCACTCATGAATCGCCAGAATTAGGGGACAGTGGCTCCCTTCCTGGACAAACACAAGCACCCCATAGAAGGGCACTGGGGGCTCTACCCTGATCCCTCTGGGGAGTGATGGCCCCGAGAAGCAACGAACCAAACAAAGGTTCACCAAGTGACCCCATTTTGATACCTGGATTGACAGCACTGTATCTAAAGGTCCTTTTCCTTATTCTTTTACAGGGAGAAGAGCCAGCCACTGGGGCAGCAAGCTAGGCAACAACCCGGACTGCCGCCCATAGAGGCAGGGTTGGACCCTGGCCCTGCCATGTCCTAGCTGAGTGGCTCTGGGCAGTGACTTGACCTTAGCGAGCTGCTGTGTCCCAGGGAAAGGCCCCCCAACCCCTGCCCCGCCCCTGGCTGTCATAGACACTGGATGAGGTGAGGCATGGGAAGTCCCCAGGAATTGCTCTCTGAGTCCCTGCCTAAGCTCGGCCCTCAACCCAGAATGTGCTTTTCCAGGTTTCCCAGCTCCCCTCAGCCAGTCTAATTTCAGTGCTCATTTACCCACACCCCTGCATATATTCCTCACACATCTGCTAGGAGTCTATTTCTCTCTGCCACTGAGATGTATATTTCTTGAGGGTAAAGATGATATTTTACATTCATCTTGGGATCCCCCACAATGCTGGTGTGGAGCATGTGATCCCTCTGTTTGCTAAACGAAGGAGTCAGGCTCAAAATGTGACTAAATGCAGGTATATTTTATAGTAAAATCACAAGGATGGAATATTCTGGGAGATCAAAGCTCTAGGAGCAAGGGGTAAAGGGCAGGTAATTTATCTGCACAACTGCATTCTCTACTACTTTTGTATTTCCCCTCCCTGCCTCTTGTAGCCATATGGTGACTTATTTTATTTTTTAAAAAAACACATGATCTGATGCCTAGTTTTATCAGGGAATAGAGTATGTAAAATCAGAACAGTCCCAGAAAATCCAGCCCATCTGGTAGGTATTTTTTATTAAGACACAAGCCACATACCAGAAAACTTCACCTTTTTTTTATGTGTACAATCCAGTGGTTTTTAGGGATGTTCACAGAGTTGTACATCATCACCAGTATCTCATTTCAGAACATTTTCACCCTAGAGAAAAACTTTGTCCCCATTAGCACTCACTCCCCAGCCCCTGGAAGCCACCAGTCTACTCTCTATCTCTCTGGATTTTTCTGTTCTGGATGTACCATAAAAATGGCCTTTTGTGACTGGCTTCTTCCACTTGTAATGTTTCAGGGTTCATCCATGTTGTGCCATGTGCCAGTGCTTCATTCCTTTTTTTTGCCAAATAATATTCCTTTGTAAGGATAGGCCTCATTTTGTTTATCCATTCATCTGTTGACCAGCATTTGGGTGTTTCCACTTCTTGGCTATTGTGAACAGTACCCTGGATGCTTTTAATATGGACCTGCGAGGCGGGCTGCAGTTAATGGCACCTGTAAGAAGGCCTTCCTTGAGGGGCTGGTGGTCTGAGAGCAGCTTGGAAAGAAGACTCTGGAGAAAGAGTCTCCAAAAGGAGGGGATGAGAGGAAGGCACAAGGTGTCCCTGGAGGGTTGCTGCCCCAGAAGAGGAGGGCATCCAGGCAGACTTACCTCCAGAAGTGATAGAAGAGTAGAGGGACATTCAGCCCGAGGGTGAGCCACTCCTGAGCACACAGGAACATGGTGCAGAAGAGGCTGTGGATGGAGTATTCAGGCAGCACCAGCTGTGGGGGGCAGAGGCACAGCCTGAGTTAGACGGAGGGAAAGTCACCCTGCCTCCACGCAGCTGCCTTCTGCCCAGACATGGCCTCCCATGTGTAGTGACACAAAGGCCCTCCCTGCGGTGGCACATGGTTACTGCCCCAAGACTGGGGCCCATTCTGGTAAGTCCTCTTTACAGTCCTGGAGCCATGCTTTATTCACAACCCACCATGGACGCAGGCCCTCAGCACCCAACTCAGCAGAATGGGGTCACCCCAGACGGCGTGCAGCCCTTCGGTGTCTGACTGAGGTAGGGCCCCTGGGGAGCACCTGACAGGCTGCCAGGGATCCAATATGCCCTGCTTCTGATTTCTAGTGCCTGTGTATCCTCCTACAAAACTCCCAAACCTAAAGTGAATATGTGCATTTATTTTAAATATAGGAGAGCCAGGGGAAATTGAGAAACACGATTTTGCTTGATGGCAGATGAGAAGGATCCCACGAGAAGGGACTAGTCCTGATTGAAACAAAGAGGAAGTTTCACCACTGGGCGAAGGGAAAGAAAGCCCAGGGTGAGAAGGGGCAGGTGGTGGGAGGTGACCAGGGAATACAGGACTCCCCTTCCCCAACCTGCCTTCGCAAGTGGAAATGGGGAGAAAGAGCTTAAAATGTTTGAACCCGCTGCAAGGGTATTTGCATCTTAACAAAAATCAAAGTGACGGTAAAGCAGAAATTTGGTCCCCAGGCAACAGTAAGGAGACCAAAGATGCAAATACACCACCTTTCCCAGTCATATGGGAACACGTGTGTGTGTGTGTGTGTGTGTGTGTGTGTGTGTGTGTGTGTGTGTGTGTACCCCCCAACAAGCCCAGAGGTTGGGGGGTAGTGCCTCTGTGCATTATTTAGACCAATGTGAATGCTTTGATCCTCTAGCAAGACCTTTCTAACCATCCTTCAAGGCCTGTCTCAAATGCCACTTTGATAGGAGCTCTGCACACCTGCCCACCTCACCTCACCCTGCACTCTGAGCCCCACCACATGCCTTCTAACTCTCACCTATGGGAAATTTCCATAACCCATCCATTACAGAGTCATTACCGTCCTCTCCCTCCCAACACAAGCAGATACACTCCGCTATCCTTTAAGCCATCCTGGCCAAACTATGTGCTTGTCTCATCTCCATTTTCAAAGTCCTATTGAGGCAGGTGATGGTGGGATGCAGGCAGATGAAGTTCAAGACCCTTGTAAATAGCCCCAGTCCAATTCAGCCACTTAGTTAGATAGACCTTACCTGCTCCAACTGGTTGTGTCCAGAAATGGGGAGAAAGAGCTTAAAATGTTTGAACCCGCTGCAAGGGTATTTGCATCTTAACAAAAATCAAAGTGACGGTAAAGCAGAAATTTGGTCCCCAGGCAACAGTAAGGAGACCAAAGATGCAAATACACCACCTTTCCCAGTCATATGGGAACACGTGTGTGTGTGTGTGTGTGTGTGTGTGTGTGTGTGTGTGTGTGTGTGTGTACCCCCCAACAAGCCCAGAGGTTGGGGGGTAGTGCCTCTGTGCATTATTTAGACCAATGTGAATGCTTTGATCCTCTAGCAAGACCTTTCTAACCATCCTTCAAGGCCTGTCTCAAATGCCACTTTGATAGGAGCTCTGCACACCTGCCCACCTCACCTCACCCTGCACTCTGAGCCCCACCACATGCCTTCTAACTCTCACCTATGGGAAATTTCCATAACCCATCCATTACAGAGTCATTACCGTCCTCTCCCTCCCAACACAAGCAGATACACTCCGCTATCCTTTAAGCCATCCTGGCCAAACTATGTGCTTGTCTCATCTCCATTTTCAAAGTCCTATTGAGGCAGGTGATGGTGGGATGCAGGCAGATGAAGTTCAAGACCCTTGTAAATAGCCCCAGTCCAATTCAGCCACTTAGTTAGATAGACCTTACCTGCTCCAACTGGTTGTGTCCTATGCAAATGAAGCTCAGTCATTCAAAGGTACAGAGACCTCAGCTGCTCTTTGTAACTGTTGGCCATCTAAAAGGGACTTCTCACTAGCAGTCTAGGTAAGAAGGAACTCTGTGCTACTTTATAGCAATCCTTGTCCTTTTCTCTTGGCTCCATAGTTGTTTTTACTGCTTACTTGGTTGGCAGGGGTCACCACTGCATAGTATTTCCCCCACAGGCTGTAGTTTTAACTTCCAAGGGTCCATTTCTTCCTCTCCTGGTGCTTCTTCCCTGACTCAGTCTGGCACACCTATCTCTCAGTTCCATGTATATTCACCTGCCTGCATGCTTATTTCTCTTTCCTCTTCCAATAAGATGTCACCAAACTAAGGAGCTTTGTCTCCCTTCAGGGCCACTGGAAGTACTCAGCTAAGAGAAGTCTACTATTGACTTTAAAGCCTGAATCTCTTTCCCCTTTTGCCCCCAACCCCTCTTCCTGGGGCCATGGCCAGGGATGGAGTTGAGCCATAGGGATGCTTATGCATGCTCAGGCAGGGCTGAAGAGCTTTCTGTGCACACCCAGGGTTGGGTTGCAGGACCTCCTGTACACACCCAGTGTCAGGCTGCAGGACCCCTGGCACACCTGGTATAGGCCCAGGGGTGATGGGATGCCTCATGTGACCTGCATCTAACAAGTTCTAATTAAGACTACTTGAAATAATAAAAGAAACACTCTGCATGCTAGAAAATATGTGTACTTTGAAAAGAGAAGTGTGAGGAATGGAAATGCATTTTTATTGAGGGTAAAAGAAGGTAATTTTGTCCTAAAGTAAAGCTGGTTATTTAAAAAGGGAGAATTCTGACTGTTAAAAGCAACTTACAGGTGGAGCCAAGATGGCGGCATGAGTAGAGCAGTGGAAATCTCCTCCCAAAAACACATAGAGCTATGAAAATATAACAAACAAAACTCATCCTAAAATAGAGACCAGAGGACACAGGACAACATCCAGACCACATCCACACATGCAAGAACCCAGCACCTTGCGAAGGGGGTAAGATACAAGCCCCGGTCCGGCGGGATCCGAGCGCCCCTCCCCCCGGCTCC